GATACTGCAATGGTGCTCTTGAAGCTCCTAACTGCATTCCTCCTCGTTTCGATGTGTAAGTTCTTGCTTGTACGTCTTCAGTCATTCATTCTGTTTAAGCTGGCAGACCAAGCCATGCTTCGCCCAATGCGTAAGCAACTGTAACAACGTCGGTGTGACTGAGTGTGCTACCAGATACAAGTCAGTTGTGAATTTCAGAATGAATGTTGAGCCATCTGTTTCAGATGCTGTATGGCTGTCACTGGATTCAACACTACCTACAACTGCTGGCCTCAATGGAACGCTGCTTCTTAAACACTTTTCTGATAAACCTTCATTCATAACCCGTTCTCTTATATTTTCTGAAATACCCATCCACAAGCATGTATCTCCGCCTAACTTCGGACACTTCACAAGCATGAGCGTAGAAAGCAGGTAGCAACAAGTACTAAGAGAAGAAAGAAAGAACACAGTTAAAGAGAAAAGAGACAAATGGAAAAGCAGAAAATCATTGATATGAGAACTCATGTAATCAATCGATACCCTGCTCCTCATTTCGCAATAGAGCAAAAGAACCATAACTATGGCACACTAATAGTATCAGTCAATCGATATCTGCCAATCCTATCTTAACCCGTATGAAAACAAATCGAAAGAAACCAGCGCGAGCTCGTATACCCTCAAATTGGACAGCCAAGTGTTAAACGCCTTTTCGAATCAAAACCCAGAAAGTCACATTCATGTTCCATCAAGTGCTTTGCAGAAGCAGAGACGTTGCGTGTAAGGAGACAAACAACAGCACGACCGCTCTCTGTGAACAATGCGTGGAATGAAAATGAAAACATGGAAAGTATCATCAGAAAAATAAATTATCACACTTCATTTTAACGTCATTCGCTCATTATAGCGGTCGTGCACTGAGTGTGCTGTTTCAGTAATTCCTTGATTTGAATACAACAATCATTCTCATAACAATCTAAATTAAACAATTTGCAATACATTAGTCACCTAATCGGATTCCCCGAGAAGGTTGTTCCAAAAATTCAAGTTTTCAAGTTATAGAACTTGTGACCCGACATACCTTTGAGTACTGGGTTTAAACCAATGAATGAGTGTCGATACTGACCATAATCATTTGTTCAACGTATCACGTATGGGTTTGTTAAATTTTAAGAATCAAATTAAGGTTACAAGTCAAAAGATTACGACCACGGCAGGATTCGAACCTACAATCTTCTGCTCCGTAGGCAGACGCGTTATCCATTGCGCCACGCGGCCATGAAAATACTTACTGTTTAGAAACTCAAGATGTCAGGTTAGAAATATCCATAACATGAAGAAAGGTTCCTTCCTGCTCAGGTCAAAAGAGACACTCATACTCTAAAAATTTTACAAAACAACCCAGAAATGAAAGACTACAGCAATAAAATGACACAGAAAACGACTTAAATTCAGGTATCTACTCAGTAAGGTTGATCATTACTCGCTGATTGTAAAATCATTCTTAAGATTCAAAAGATTACGACCACGGCAGGATTCGAACCTACAATCTTCTGCTCCGTAGGCAGACGCGTTATCCATTGCGCCACGCGGCCACACATCTGTGACTTCGGTATGAAGTTCATCATGATTACAAGCCGTCCCGTTCAGATTGTAACACATAGACCAAAAAACCAGGATGGAACGTGACATAGAAGAGAAGAAGGGGTGACATTCCATAGTTTTCTTCATTGATAAAGGAGTGAATAAACGAACAT